TTTTCTTACTTTTGCCCTTCCAATTCTCTCCCCCATCCCATTGCGGGGGAGGGTGAGTGAGGAGCTGTGTGGTGCTTGGTTGCCAACAGGGTCTAAACCACAACAAACCTATAAGATTAAACTGATACCAAAGGAACAAAAGACTGGAGGCACAGTCTTACAACTGCTCATCTTAGTTTCCCATGCGATAACTTATGTGTAGTTATGTTGGAGGTTAGGTCAATACACAAGGACTGTATCTTTGATTTATAGTGATACACCTATCTGTGTGAAGTTGCTGGGCATGACACAATTTCTATTCATAACGAATAAAGAAGCAATTAAATGCTTATGTGTCTACTAGGTGCAATAGTAAAAGACACCTCAGAAATCCAATTCCAAAGTCAGAAGATGAGGTAGGGCTTGTAGTCTAAAAAGCGTTTTTTGACATCGAAATGCAGGCAGTCACTGAATAGGGTTGATGGAGGTAAGACATAAATAGTGAGAAGCAGACAGGGAAAGGAGCAGAAAACAAAAAAGGAAAAAAAAATGTTGGTAGAGTAGGCCTAAGAAAAAGTGAAGGAAGAGAGATTCTGGGTATTGTAGAATCTGGAAAAAAGCTTGGAATGAAGAACAAAGAAACTGCCCCGGTAAATCAACAGGGCTGCAACAAAGAAACACTGTCTCTGATAAGGGTATTTCCTCTTAGTGGAAACGAACATTAAATCTTAGCTAAGGACTCAGATCCCAGCCTGGAAGAGCGCACTAGAGCAGAGTCCCAGAGGGTTTCCATCATCTACCGCATTCTCTTCCCAAATAGCCGTGAGCTGTCGCTGCAGAGGCAGTGCCCAGGAGATGGCAGTCTTGGATAACAGCAAAACAAGTCACGGACCTACAAACCGTGAACTACGGCATTTGGTAGCTGTACACTCTTGATGACTATTGGCACTACTGGGTTCACATGGAAAATCCTTCTGAAAGACTCCATTTCTGTGAGCAACCCAAATTGACATGGAGGTGGTTCACTCTAATATCCAGTTTTATTGGGACTTATGGTCCATTACACTCAGGGGAAAAATAGGCTCTTTTAAGAATATTGAATTAGCTAAAAATAATAAACCACTTCAGAACACCGAAAAGACACATACTAGCAGGTTTTGAAGATGCAAGCAGCTTCTGAAATACGGAAATATTTTTTTCTGTATGTCAATAGTGAACATAATAATCAGTGGTAAGTTTAAAGTGCAGCAAGAAAATATTTTCTAACATAAGGATAGTGAATCATTAGAACAGATCGCCCAGGGAGACTGTGGGATCTTTAGGACTGAGAGGTCTTTGTAATTTCACACATGAAATTTTTATACATACGGCAAGGTAAACACAGATGTAGTTGATTCTGCCATAGAACAAACGTCTGGAGTAAATTAATAACTGGTGATTGCTTATCTTTTTCTATTATAATATTTGAAAAAGCCATTAAATTTAAACCAAGGTTTTGAAAAATAGAAAGCATTTGGAGGTGATATGCTTTATCTTTGACCACTTGAACCTGAGAAAGTTCAAATGTGCAGCAGAACTAAAACAATATTCTGGGATGTGGAAAAAAAAGAATTGCAACTTTTTCTTCTTTAAAGATATTCTGTGAATTTCCTGCCACAAAGACCATTAAGACTCTATTGAATATTTAGTAGCAGAGTGCTTATTCATGAGATGAAGGTATTAGTGAATGAGGCTATCTAACAACTTATCTAACTTACAAAATGTAAGACCAATTGAACAAACAAAAGGAAGACAACAGGTATTTAAAAAACCCCACCCCTAAACCAGACAGATTTGACTGTGAAGTTACGAAGACAATGTATACTCTAAATTAGCAATTAATTCCATTACTGTCCGTCCACTTTGGTTTAATCACAGCCCATCCTGCTCATCTGTGCAAGGAGGCAACACCAACATTAGAGAAAAAAGGAGTATGAAGCAGAGTCTAGAGGAAACCACCTAGAACAATATCATCTCTTCAGCCTTACTGATAAAATGAAAATTGCCACAGAAATCCTGAGAAAACAGGTTTACTTATTGTAGTGCTATAATTTAATAGACTGTGGGGGAAAAAAATTGTCAACTTAAGATTTTAAGAGTTTCTCCTGTTACTCATCACAAAAAAATTACTAGTCTATGTGTACCCGAAGATGATGCATACACTAAATTTTGTAAACACAGAGAAGTATTAGGATTTTATTGGGAATTTATGTCTCTTCATATTTATTCCCCAGACATTTGAATGCTCTCTCATGGATATTAAAATACTTTTTGATTGTATTACCTTCACTGGCATTTGGTTGCTCATTCACTTTAATCTGTTGAGAAACCGTTTACATTTTCCATGACATGCCACTCAAAATTCATTTATGCTGAAGTCTTTATGCCCATTTTGTGAGCTATTTCAGTTGCTTGTAAGAAGCACTCTAGGAATTAACTGAACAGTGCATTTTGGTTTTTATTTACACAGAAATCAGCACTTTCCCCAGTTGGGGGCGCATGGTTAATGGGACAAACCCTGTCAGTAACCCTGCAGACCAAGATGTCAAACAGATTTAAGTACCTGTTGCTTGTAGTTTGCATCCCATTTGCCCTTTTTTGTGGTAAGTTTCCTTTACAGTAGGAGCAGATGATAAGAGTATTTTGCTTGTCTTCAGTCACAGTGGCCTCTAGGGAATGCTGAGGTCTATGCCATGCCAAACAGACACCAAAACCAGAGGCAAGGAGTATCTGAGTTAGCTCAGGTACCTCTGCAGTGTCAACATACAGTCACAACTGCCCTCATTTGAATCAATAAATAAGTATTGATTATTTCCTTTCTCACGTTAGTTCAGCAAAACTGGCACACATTTTAGGTTGACAACCTGCATCTATGCTGGAGATTCATTCCGTGCCCATTCATCTACAATGTGAGTATCTGCTCCAGAGAGCTGTTCCAACCCTGCATTTCAGAGAAGTGTGTGGAACAATGAAGAATCAAGTGCTTCATGCACATTAGTGCCTTCACATGTTTTGCATGGGCATCTTGGCAAGCAACAGCTTTCCCAGCTTATGGCTGGTTTTCTGCTTATACCCAAAAAAAAAAAAAAAAAAAAAAAAAAAAAAAAAGAAAACGAACATGTCTCAAATGGAAGTGGAAAGAAAAACTAGTTAACAGTAACATTTTTCACTGCATTCTCCCATAAACCTGCTAATGCTCTCCTCAAGATGGAAAAGTCCTTGATGAACAAATACAACGTAATCCTGTTCCATAAGATTCTGTATTTCCCTTGCACGTGTCATTTTTTGTAATTAGGGCAAAATTACAGCACCCAATGGAGATAGCTGTAACTTCACTACATGTAGGAACTGCCATTGACATCCCTGGGAGCATGTTGCCTTCCAGTGGATGAGCTCCAGAGTTGGGCAAGAACAAGTTTAGAACTGGTATTTCATGCTAGAGCACACACTGATGTTAGACTAGGACAAAAAGTATTGTTTTTTCAATCCTGCACAGGTTGAAGAACTTTAACATCTATAGACAGGTTCAACAGTTGGAGAGGAAAAGCATCTTCCTGCATTCATCCCTGTTACTGTCGGTGAAATTCTCTCATAAAGATAAAAGCACCTTTTTATATTTAACATGCCTCCATAATTCTTGCCTACCCAAAGTTTCAGATTTGTTGTTTATTTGGAGTTGTAACTTAAAGTTTGGGATTCCTTTTATCAGTTCCACAGTGCCTCCACATAACATGGCAAAGAATATCACGGGTCACTTATTATCTGATTTATTAACCTTTTAGGTATAAAGGGAATATAAGTGAGAAGAAAATTTGTCCCTGTATCACATTACATCATTGTAAAGATGAAATGTCTCACAAACATTACTTTTTCTTCTTGATCTCCCTTATGTAAAAATATTGGCACTTTCTCTATTTTACAGATGAAAAACTGAGGCAAAAGATTAAGTCAGAAATATTCCCTTATTTAGGGCACCTAACTTGAAATGTATAGGACCTGATTTTTTACATTAAAAACTTCACATCCACTGTGCAGGCAACTGCTATTCAAGTTGATGGGCTAACCAGTAACAACAGATGACATTAGAGCTCCACAGGAAACGATTTCACCAGGTTTCATGGGAAGGTCCTCTATTTGACAGAGTTAGGACACTTGGTTTGGGTTTCATATGGACCAGAAAAGAGAAACTTCTGTATGTGTTAGACTATAAGAGAGTTTGATTTGCTAAAATGTGAATATAAGAAAATAGGGATGTTGATAAAAGGAGATAGAATAACTTCTTTGTATTTTTACTGTATATTCAAATTCAACTAGTCCCATTCTCTAAAGTTCAAATTAGGCAGAACAAGTTATGAGCAGAGGACCCCCTCAGAAATTCTATGAGCAACTAATTGTTTTTTTTTTTTTAACCAAGATACTAATTTAACTTATAGTTGACTCATATCCCAGTTGTCAGTCAGCAGTTGTTCTGAAAAAACTATTGTTTTTTTCAGTAATTGCCATACCAAAGTGGTAGCCAGGGAAAATGATCCTACAGACAACTCCTTTAACAAGAATAAGCAGGTAAAATGTTTTCACAATATGAACAGGCTTGTTCAGCTTGCATATAGATACTATATGTTTACAAAAGCACATGACTCAAATTTCTCTATGAACATAAATCACAGAGTTATTTTTCAGGTAGACAACATGGAGTATTTGCAACTTCCTGACCTAATGTGTAATTTTGTTAGCAAGAAACATGGAAAAATATAAAACTTTTTTTAAAACAGACCAGTACTTAATAAAGTAATTATCCTTATATACAGTGAAAAAATGTTGCTTGATTCATTTTCTAAACCTATTTCATTTTACAGATAATTACATTTTTCTTTTCAAACACTTAAAGGAATAACCTTGGGCATGACAGACATTGAAAATAATAAGACATACCTTGTTTAGCTTTACAAAGTATTCCAGTCCAGCTTCCAAGGGATTAGTGTCACAGTTCATCTGTTAAAAAAAAAAAAAAAATTCACCATCTGTACATGATGGACTACCATAGCTTTTGGGTTGGGGGCTGGGGGGCATTTATTTAGTTATTCATGCAGCCTTCTGTTTTCTCCTGGGTCAGTGTCTTCCACACTGCATATGTGCAACTTCCATTTGAATACACTGTATTCTTCCTATATGCGATTTCAACAGAGTATCTACTATTATGCCTAATATATAGATACGTATATCATACATCTATGTTTCCATATGCAAAGTAAACACACATTTCAGTATGAAACAGGACTTTTCATCAAAGCAGAATGGAACCTGCAGAAGATTGAATAACTGAGATATGCACATTAATTGCAATATGGCAGAATGCCTTAGCTGGAGAGGAAAATAAAACACAAAGCCAATTTTATTTACCACTTTCCCATTAGGTGTACAGGGAATGATTTGTTAGGCAGCATTTGAAGCAAGAATGAAAATAATTGTCACTGGGCAAACAGAAAGCACCCCTAAATGCCCACCATTTAACCTTCCTGAGTTCTTTCCTTTCCAAATGAATTAGGAAAAATTTCAGGTAAGCAGAAATTATACTGATTTTCCCCAAATTCTCTAGGCCCCCTGAGTAGTTCTGTATTGTGAGTAAGGACATTCGGCAGAAACAAGCTAATGGGAAATGAAAAAGTTCCAAATACTTTATGAAGCAAGAATAATTGGCCTCTCATGACATAGTTATTACAGAAATAAAACATTTTCAGAATCTATCAGCCAAACCTTTGATTTCAAAACACTAGAGCTCAGCAAAACCCTCTTAATTTTGTTATACACAAGAGGGAAAAACATCAGTGAATCAAAGTGTCTCTTTTCCAGCAGTGCAATGGAGCCTGCTAGTTATTTGTATTTACAAAAGACAGTGTTCAGAATTATAGCAGCTTTTCCTGCTCAAGGTAAATTTTCTCTTCATGCTAAATTGAGAAACTGGAACAAACACTATCTGAGCTAGCTCTGACTAAAAACTGTATAGTATAAAGCAAATAAACAGAAAGAATAATAAAGAAGTCATATTTCCTGACCTCTGCCCCCCAGGCTCGGAAACCCTTTTCCAGCCTTAAAGCATTCAAAGCATATGTTCCAAAGTTGTCAATTCCCTCTTTTTGGCCAGCTTCCATGATTGCACTGTAAAGAGCTAGAGAATCTTCTTTTCTATGATAGAGCTCCCAGCCCAATTCACCTGTTATACAAACAAGATTAATGGTTTCATCAGCTCAACAATGAAACAATCCTAATAAATACAGTTCTGTTCTTGGTAAAAAGTGGGGATCAATGCTGTAGGTGTTAATTCACATTCTAGAGTCAATTCTGCTATCATATATCAAGCTTAATACCCTGCAAGAAACACCAGATGATTTATGCCCTAGATCTTAAGCAGTGGTACTATTACACTAATTTAAACTGTTAACTGAAATCTTGGGGCGGGGGGTGGGGAGGAGACCAGAAAAACTGATAAGAAAAGGTCATGTAGCAAAGTCACAATGAGAGATGGAGCTTAAGGGCATTATAAACATATGATGACTTGGCAAGTGAACAACAATTGTAACTGAGTGTAAATAAGTATAAAACAAGTATATTGTATCAGATCTAGTACAATAGAAAGAGAAGGACTTCAGCTGCTTCAGAATGGTCTGAATTCAGTCCATTGCAGTAGAGACAGACATAAAAATAATTTTAAAAAAAAGTAACTGAGAAAAACAAATACTCAGCATTACAGTGTTACATTTTCAAGGCACTTGACAAACACTAATATACGGTAATCCAAAACCAATTCTTGACGTTGGTTTTGCAGCAAATACCACAGAGGTTATCAGAACTGGCCTTTTGTTATGTAAAATAAATATTTATACTATGGGGTATTCTAGAGAAAAAGGTCTTGGAAAACTCAGCACAAACCCTGACCAGATCACATTTGAAAATCAATGTACTGCATTTCCTCACATATTTATATATGAAATGTGATGAACCTACTGCTTATGAATAGATGATAAGATTTATTTTTCAACATAATTTTAGTTACACTTATTATTTACTGCCTCTTTCCTTAAGAGTCTGTTTTCTCTATTGCTTACCTGTGTATGATATCCTAATGGCAGTAACAGCAATATCAGAAAGTTTCAAATGTCTAGACTGGAGAAACTTAAATGAACCATCACTCAGATCCTCACTTGTCAACTTCTGGAGGATCTGTCGGGCATATGGACCTGCTACACCAAGTACTCCCATCTTGTCTGTCATGTTTTCTATTTCAACTTTATATCCACCTCTCGTTACTTCCTCTTCTATCCATCTGCATGTAAAACACAACAGTGGTGTTAATATTTTTATGAAAAATAACTGATTTAGGTAAAAATTAAAACAAATAATTTTTTGTTAGTGTTCAACTTCCCAGCAGTTCCCAGTCCCACACCTTCTCAAAACCAATGGAAGTATGTGCTACACTAGATAGTCAAATCCATCATTGATGTTAAACAGTATTTTCTGGTGAGGTACTGGTATAGGAACACAGGCATCTGGGATATTGCCAGGAAGGGAGGAAATTTAAATGGGTGGAACAGCATTTTCAAGATAAGAGAAAGAAGTGATCTCATAGAACTGAACATATATTTGCCTTTGGATCTAGAAGGTATTAATAACAAATCAACTTACAAAAAGAGTAATCAATAAACACAATAAACATCAGAAATCTCAAAATAAATTCCTCTGTCAACAGAAACATACAACAAGGCTTGTTCCTTCCTGAATACGGTATTTAAAGTATTGGCAGGAAGTTCAGTTTTGAGTTTTGATTTAATCAAAAACATCGGCTGGGTATTGTCTTTCAGGAAGCTCACAAAATAAATGAAAGGAGTATTTAAAAATCTTATAAACTACTGCAGTGCTAAAAGATCTCAGGCACAGGGGTGTACCAAACAGGACTGCTGAAATTCTGTAGAAGTAAATGTATTAGGTCTGGTTCTGCTATTTGGTTCCTGAATGTGCCAGTGGTCCTGCTGATTACCATGGGAATGTTACGGAACAGTACTTTATTCATTGTGTGTTTTGGTAGCAAATTTCAGTCTTCTATGTGTTGATTCATTTTGAATAACTGATTTGTCAGCAATCTCCAGTAAGAAAAATTCTTTTTCTTAGTATGTATGTACAGCCACTTACAGCACTAGAAATGTCACTTCCAATGCTCATCTATGAAAAGCATTTTAATGAAGTCATCCTACAGCTGCTTCTACCTCCTCTCTTTCTGTTGTTTCGCTTTGTGACCCCAGAGCCCAAAGCAGAAGACATTATCACAGTATCAGGAAGACTACACTACCCAGTTGTATTCACCAGGTCAGTGCCTGTGGGGTCATCCATGTTTAAAGCCAATTTTCTTTTTTGCGTAAGAGAAAACACTAGAAAGGAACAACTGTGCTGTGTTCCATCATACAATGCCAAACACAAACATGTTCAACAACGAAACAAGAACTACCTCGATTAAAGTATTACATAACTATCAGTAAATTGTCCATCTTTTTACACCAACAATAATCCAATACGCAACTGCTTATATTTCAGGATTCCAGTCAACCAAGTTTCTAAGAAACCAAAATCAATAAATAAGTAGAATTCTCTTGAAACTAGCAGAAGGTTTGCTGACTAATAATTAAGAATTTGGCACTTAGTAAAATGTTTCTATATTAATGTGACTGTATAGCACTGTGTAGTTACTGTATCAAAAATAAACTAACCTCAGATCATGGAGTTCTGACCCCGAGCCAGTTACAAGCATAAATTCTCCAGGATACAGTTGAGAAACTGTTAGCTCAGCATAAACTCTTCCTCTTGGTGTTAACATATGGCTTATATTTGTGGAACCCACCTACAGAGCAAAATTTGCAATTATGAAGAATGCAAAATAAAACCTTTGAATTCTTAAACATTATGAAATACATGGAAATATGTCTTTACTTGAAAGAACAATGTTTTTATGTTTGTTCTGCTATGCCATAATAGGAGCAGACAGATACACAATTGGCCAAGCTTAAGCTTTACAGTGGAAATTTCACAATTTCATAGAAAAAATTGAAATTTTTGAAAACAGATAAATCAAGACCTTTATAAATATTTGTTAATTGTGTATTACACAAGGTGTTCTTAAGCTACATTTAAGAATGCATTTTCAATGCAAATTCAATCAATTCTAGTTTGTTCTCTGATGATCAGAATAAAAAATTCTATGTGTTATTGACATATTCTTTTTCAATCATGTGAATAAGGCTTTCGGATCCCCAAAGTATAACATTACTTTGCCCCTTACTTTAAAGAAAGAAATACTGAGCTGACTTATGCTTTTGTGTCCCTGATTTATGTATGCTTTTGTATTTTATGTAGTTGCTGACTATGAATCTACCTGTCGTATATTTGAATCGGGTTCTGTCTAGAAATGTAATCTCTAGAGGCAAAATTTCAACTAACAGTTACTTAGCTGTAACCATAAAACATATACATGTTCATACAGATATCATCCATACAAACAGAAATATGAATATGCCATAGCTGTTGTGCTGGTCTGGTTCCAGAGGCAGAATTTAATGTCTCTTACTTCATTCTGCTTTCGTAAGAACCTTGTCAATCACCCAATCAGTGCCCAGATTCCAGACAATGAATGGAAAAAGGATAAATATTGCAGATATTAAAATTCTTTTGCAAGGTCATATTACATTAATATAGTTACTGGCATATTACAGGCACATAACTGAATTTTCAGGATCTGATGGTAGTCACACTCAACCTGGTTGTGATACAAGTATATCTCCAGTAACTTCACTGAATTATTTTATGATGCAGACAAGCATGAATGGTACCAAAAATCAGACAGCTTAAATAAACAACTGCTGTGAATGCTGGATTTTTAAGTGGACTCATAAACTGTTCATTCTAGTTTGCTGTCTTTCTTTTTTCCCTTAGCAACACTGATTAAACTCCATAGAAAGCACTCACTTTGTTCTCATAATTTCCTGTTTAATCTTGCTTTCCCCCCACCTCAGGGGAGGTTTAGATTGGATATTAGGAAAAATTTCTTCACAGAAAGGGTAGTCAACATTGGAACAGGCTGTCCAGAGAGGTGGTGGCGTCACCATTCCTGGAAGTGTTCAAAAAATGGGTAGATGTGGCACTTTGGGACATGGTTTAGTGGGCATGGTGGTGTTGGGTTGATGGTTGGACCGATGATCTTAGAGATCCTTTCCAACCTTAATGATTTCTAGTTTTTACTTTAATTAAAAAATAATCCAGCTACCGAGCCAGGAAACATGAAATTACTACTCTACCCTTAATTGGTTTAGTGTGGACTTGGTAATGTTAGGTTAATGGTTGGACTGGATGATCTTAAAGGTCTTTTCCAACCTAAATGATTCTATGTTTCTATGAAATATATTCAGCAAGTGTTATCCATGCCCACTGATGACAGAGTTACCCCACCTCTACCCCCAGCTAGAAAGAAGACAAACTTTTAATCTATATTGCTATCACAAAATTAATACAGTAAAAAAATATGATTACATGGCAATCCAGGTTCTTCTTTCTCCTAAACCTATAGGACACCATTCTTGTGTACAGCCTCGCCATTCAGTTCGCTCTGACCTCTGAGAAGTTCTCTACCTTCATAACCATAGTCTCAGTGTACCTGCTGTTTCCCTCTGGTGTCTCAAGCAGCTAAAACTATCACCTGCCACAAAAACTTAATGAAATTCTGTGCTGAAATGAGCAAACCCCATGGCTGCAGCACTTCAGAAAGGAACAACCTGCTTGCTGGAGGTGTATCTCTGAAGGTGAAAACACTAGATGAGAGTGGTTGACAAAGCAGGAAGATAAAGGGCCTCATGGAGCACTACCATAAACAACCAAGAATAAGAAACCTGGGGTAGTTTGTCACAGTGTGCCATTTTTGAAAACAGGATCATATTCTGAGGATCTGTGAGCAGCCACATTTGTGGAGAAAGGACAGGTGTGAGCTGAAAGCTGAACATCCTGAATATTTGCAAACCTGCCTGCTTCAGGCAGCCAGCTGTAAAACAGAGTCAGTATGAGGAGGGGTGGACAATAGAACATGGGTCACATTTAAAAAAAAAACAACAAAAGTGTTACCTTGGGCATCCAAGAAGAATACAACATCCAGCCATAGTCAGGCAAGAGCACTTTCCACTGCTCTCCTCTGCTGCCTGAAGCTGCCACAGTACAGCACAGTTTTAGGCCAGCAGCTGCCAAGCTATTCTAGTACTACTGTATAAGAATTCCAGGCGAGATTCCCTTGGACTTCTTCAGACAAAGATTTGAAACCCAGGTTCTTTCAAGGAAACATGCTTTTACTGTAAAGGTGACTGAGCACAGGAACAGGTTGACCAAAGAACTGGTGGAGTCTCCATCCTTGGAGATACTTAAAAGCCATCTGGACATAGTCCTGGCCAATGAGCTTAGGGTGACCTGCCTGAACAGGGGGTCGGTCAAGGTGACCTCCAGAGGTCCCTTCCAACCTCAGCCATCCTATGATTCAATGATTTATGCCAAAAGGTACTTCTGTGTGGGGCTACTCTAGTATAAACTCCACCGTCCATGCTCTTAACTGAGTGAAACACTTCTCCTGACACAGCAGTTTCTCCAAAGGACCTGAGTGTTTGGTATCTGAAGGATATGGAAATAATATTGTGCTTCATTTTCCATTTCTGAAAGAGATCTCGTTTGTCTAAATCCTACATTAAAACAGTTATCACTGTCCCATTTACCTTTGGAACAACATTTGCAAATAGATGATCCAGCAGCTTAACAGAATCTGTGCCTTTTACTTTAAACTTGCCAAATGGTGACAGGTCAATCACACCGACTTTTTCCATAACCTGTTTATACTCACGACCCACAGGGTCAAACCAATTTGTGCGCCGAAAACTGGGTCTGAAACAGAGCATTTACACACATAAAACACATTTGGAAATTTTGTGCTCTTTTCAGCAAAACGTAGTCTTCAGTTTCTCCAGTTTAATAATAATTCAAATGAGATAGTCCTTCCTAATTGTAGGTAGCTTACCCAATATTATCCTTGGTCTAACATAGCTTAATTATTAAAATCCTTTAACAACAGAGAAAGATATGGGTTGATATTTTATCAACCATTTTGTATGATAAACGGTGAACTGTTCAAATGTTAGAAGTAGTAGTCTGTGTAAATTTACAGCATACTTTGTTGCTGAATCATTTATTTGAGTTTAAGGTGTCAAAGGCTTTATTTCTGAACAGCAGAGTGTGTCTCTTTATTTCTTTATGAGCCTCATTTAGATTGGGACTCCAGTATCCCTGTGGAAAACTTTTATTTGCTGGATAGCTCCCTGATGCAAGCAGGTAAACTAGGTAGGCAGGCACAGAAGAAAAACAGAAAGGAGGATTGGGCGTCTCCTTTCCTCAGAATTATACAGAGACGAATCAGCTTTTTCATGAAAACATTACACTGTGCCGCTGATCAAACAATAAGAGAGGGAGAAAAATACAAATTTATAAAGAACAAATTGTTCATTAATCTTTTCCTTGAGCTAGGCTGCTCCCTGATACCCCATACCTAGAAGAGTTACAGGACATCTCGATATGTGTTTTGAAATGTCTGCATTATCAGAATGAAATGGGTTCTTAGCTATATAAAAAACAATAATGGAAGATCTACCTAATAGATACTTTCAGATTAAATAAATGATAAATGTATGCTTCTTATTAAATTTAACTCAGTTGGCCGTTGTTGTAATGATAATTTATCAGGGGAGGAGAGATAATCTTTTATTTACTTGTATCCAGTCTCATCTCCAGGTTTGTAGAACCAATGAGGTTGCTCCCATCCTGCATGAAAGCCCATTGAACATTTTGATTTCAGCAAATCATACAGCCCACTGGTTCTCTCTGTTGGTCTCCCAGCAAATCTTTCTTCTTTAGGGTAACCAACTAGAGGGGAAAAAAAACCAAACCAAAACCCATGGCATACTAAATACTGTACATCACCAAGATAGAATATATATTAATACATATATATAAACAGAGAAATCTAGAGGCAGGCTTTGTTGGAATCCATTTTCAGGATATAAATGTATTTTAAAAAATACCTTCTTACCAATGTTATTAAAACCATAAGATTCTCTTGCTTTGGCTGCTGTGTATTCTGTGGTGGTCCATTTTCCATACCGGTTGGGATCTAATTCTATCAGGTCAAAGGGAGGTTCCCCATCAAGGATCCAGTCACTGAGGTACTTTCCTATGCCACCAGCATGTATAATGCCATACCTTAAAAACAGGAAAAAGTCCTGTAGTGCCAAGTCCTTTTTTGTTTGTTTGTTTTTAAAAAACAGTACTAGG